CTATAGTAGTTATAAGGATGATCCTCATACTAAGGTATACTTCATGAGGTTCTTCACTATAGTAGTTATAAGGATGATCCTCATACTAAGGTATACTTCATGAGGTTCTTCACTATAGTAGTTATAAGGATGATCCTCATACTAAGGTATACTTCATAAGGTTCTTCATTATAGTAGTTATAAGGATGATCCTCATACTAAGGTATACTTCGTGAGGTTCTTCACTATAGTAGTTATAAGGATGATCCTCATATTAAGGTATACTTCATGAGGTTCTTCACTATAGTAGTTATAAGGATGATCCTCATACTAAGGTATACTTCATGAGGTTCTTCACTATAGTAGTTATAAAAATTATGTTAAACTGCATTAATATTGAATATTGAGTAACTCTTACAACTAAATTGTTTGGTAACTGGCCTTCGGCTAAGGGCAAGTAAAAGTACCAGCTTATATGGAAAGGCTGAATTGATATTTTAAAAAAACATGTTTTTTTTTAAATATATCTTCAGGTTAATATTTTCATCTTACTTTTTGGAAACAACATCTATTGTATCATGAGCGTTTTTGGTGACATAAAATAATAATGTTATGTCAGTTAGCTAGTTGTTACTGTAGCAACCGTCTCATAAATAAGCTTAAAATGTCCATTAAAGGGGCAGGTAAAAGTTGGAATTATATCAGTTATCAGTAGTTGTATGAAAAAAAAAGTATAGATTGACCAAGCAGTAAAGATGATTTTGATATTGTGGTAGAGTTTAGGAAGTTTATTAATCGATCTTCATAAGTGTTCCTGGCTTTGATTAGGAAATAACCAAGTTTGGACAAAACTAAATAAAAATCATAATTTAATATGTAGATAGTTTCACCTGTCACATCATTATGTAGTTCAACCTGTCTCCCATTTTTGTGTTAGCAGTTTGTAAATTGATTCTTTCCCATTACATGGTGTGAGATAATTCATTTTTATCATAAACTGTCACGTGTAGACAACCTCATGTAGTTTGGTGTATTTGTTTTCAACACTTCATCATTATTTCATGTTGTTGTGTCAACGGTGTTGATAAGGTAAAGATATGGCTTAAATGGACTGCTCTTTTCTCTTTCTGGACACTTTAGCTTCTATACTGAGGCCTTCTTTAGTTTAAAATATTCTAATACCTTTTATGTTACCACACTGCTATCCTTTATGTTTTCAATAAAGGTGATTCTTTTCCATTAAGTTGTGCACAAAACCTTTCCATTTTTCTCCCTTCCTGGCTTTAGGATATGATCAGTTATGTGTCTGGTGATGGCTAACCTTTGTTGTGTTAAAGGATCATTGTGTTAATATTAGTGTTGAAATATGGTTTCATTTTCTCTAATATTTTTATCAGCAACATTAATTCAGAAAATTTTAATGAGAACTAAAGTTTAAAATATATTTTTTGTTTTAATCTGTCAAATTAGCATATAATTTGATACTGATAAAATCTACAAGACTTAAATCACATCTTTTAGATGATCAGATATTTAATTAGTGGACTTTAGTTTAATTGGTTAACTTATTTTCATCATAGGTGTTTACTCTGTTTCTCGATGCCCTGCATGAATTAATTCATGTCCACCAGCTGGACCTCCATGGCTGGTTGTATATTCTTTTAACACGTCTCTTTGTCAAGTCTGGTACAGACACAGTGACCTCTGTCCAAACCAAGATAAAGAAAACTCTGGATTTAATTAGGTTAGTGCTATTTTATTTTATATTTTTAATGTTAAGTAGTATGAAGTGATTTAATTATACTTTTATTAAAGCAGTTAGCCAAGTGTTGGAACATTTTGATTGTGTAACAGAGGGTCTACTTACATGTAGGAGTTACTATATAAGATAAAGAAAAATATGTGACAAAGAGGAGTGTAGAAAACAAATTCACCAAAAAAATGTGTGTAATATTTTTAGGCAAATACGACAAAAGTTTTTTATTCTTGTTTACATTTTTATCTCTGCTTAATGATACAAATACATTGTTTTACTGTTTTCCATACATGTCTACTAATTGTTCCACATGAAAATGTCTGTAATTTTTGTCTAGTTTACAGTTTCTCTAACTTCCATTTCTGTTCCAAAGACAAAGTTTAATTATACTGTTAAGAAACTTTGAATTCCCCTTTGAACAAACGGATATCTTAAGATGTGCTGTATAAGTGTGAACGTTACTAATTACAAACACTTGTTTTTCTTCATTTTCTAGCTATGAATCACTATCATTGTCACTATCACTGCCTATGTCATTTTTTAATAGCTTCATTGCCAGCAGGTCCTAGTTAATAACATTATTGCCACACACTGAGCTTCTTTAACTTGACCAGTTCTGAAAATTCACAAATTTACAATTCTTTTTAACACTTAAGAGTACATCATCAACATTATCGATACTGACATTGACCCTACTATCAACTATCGATTCCACCTGAATGCTTCTCTTTTGTGGATATCTCAAGATCATCTCATGCATGCTTCAACTAATAGATGTGTCTGAAATCTTTGTTTTTAATAGATCAATACCAATTTAATTTTTTTTTAACCTTTACAAGAATATGTTCATTTTGAAGGTGATTATAACTTAAGCTTGAATTATTCCTTGACCCTGCTGTTTTGTTTGGTGGGGAAAATACCAATTTTGCATTTTTTTAGTGTTAAATATGGATGGGCTGAGGCAATGTGTACAGACAGTAAAACTTTACTTTCTTCTCGTCTTGCAGTTTACAGACTTGAGTTGCTCTTCAAATGCTCTGCTAGTCATACATTTTTTTTTTAAGTGTGTACATGACTAGTAATCTTTCTGGTTTGATTTGCCTCTTATGAAGGGTTTAAGCTTTTTACTAATCGTACTAGCTGTAGTGGTATGATTTTTAGCTATTTGTTCTTCTTGTGCATTCACTTACTTTTATAAGATAGGTTGTTGAAAATGTCTCTGAGCTTATATTCCTCACAGATTGTTGACAGTTTACTTTCCTAGTCTCAGACTACACTGCTGTCAATATCTCATCTTATTATTCATGTTTTTCAGGACAACGAGGCTTTCAGAAATTTGTGTAATCAGCCATTCGAGGCCTTAAAGTCTCATACACCAAGTACTCTTGAATTTGAGTCCAACCTACACCCATTTCTTGAGCAGCTTTTTTAGAGATTTTTTCCTATTTTAACAGCTTTATAGCATTAACACATTTTTCTAGTTAATAATTTGTGTTTTTGAGGTCATCATCAAGCTGAGAACACACACAGTGTAGAATGTAGTTATTGATCCTTGTTGAAGTTTGAATAAGGAATAAATAGGGATCAAGGCTTCTTGTTTGCAGAAGTTAATTTTACCAGATAATCTTGTAAAAGTAGCATAACTGCCTCTAGCAATGGAAGACATCACAAGTGCTTATCATTACTGCTGTATATATTGTAGGGTACAAATATTGACAGAATGGATATTCTTGCCTGGCTAGTGTTAAGGTTATTGAATTATGTGTAAGATGTGTGTGAACAAGCAACCACCTCTGAGAAATCTGGGGGTCACGTAGAATCCAGTTCTTGAAATAGTTGTCAAGCCTTGTATGATCTCTTTAGTTTAGCTATTAAATAGAAAAGTTAGAAAGGGATTAGTAACTAATTGATAATTAAATTAAATTATCATATAAGTAATTAACCATTACAACTATTGATATCCAATCATCACAACATTACCATAAGCATGTACCCATTCTTGAAACTTTGATAGCCATTGCATATCTGACTTATGAGTATTTCTGTTATGTATTTATGGTTTGAATTTACATGCATTTTTCATTGAAATTGTGTGACCATTTAACAGAAAAGTCTCGACTCAGTTACAGAAATTTAGTGATCATTAGTCAAGGGAAGTAGAATATATAGGAAAAATATACATAGAGGTAAAAATTTGCTTCTTAACAGAAGTGACCATAAGTGGAGGTTAGACTGTATTATTATTTAACAAGTCTCCTCAGTTACACTGTCTAGTCGCTATTGGCTTCAACCACTTTTCACTCTGATAATATCCTGACATAATCGTGGTATAGACTCAGACTTTACAAGATGTTATATCACATTTTTCACAAATTTGGGGTGGTTTTCAGCTGGTTCAGAATTGTTAATAAATGATTATAGAAGCAAATGTTACTCGCAAGTTTTCCCCCAAAATTCTCATTTGTATAGAGATCTAGTAAGTGTGTTGCCCCCCACCACCACCAAAAAAAAAAGATGTCTGAAATCACTGACTTGCTCTGTGATCTAATTTGAACAATACCATCTTGTTGCATTATCATATGGGAAGAGTCTTTGTTCAACAAGGTGGAAATGCAACATTGTAGTATGAATTGGACTAGCACAGTGTTTTGTTACTCTCTGGATATTACTTACCATTCTGAAGGAATCAGAGGAACAAACCATTGCTATGATAATTTTCTCTATTAACCCTCTCACAATTGCCATTTTTTCTGCACATCATGAGGTTTTAGTGAGTTACATTTAAAATTTCATTAAACTACTTTATTTTGATGGTATACAAATAAACTTGGCATCAAAATGTAGCTAATAATACATTTTAATATTTTATAAGCTTTAACTTCTTAATTTTATAAGGCAATATTTAAATAAATGATCCTCAATTTCCCCCAGTATGAGAATTGTGGCATTTACTGTCTAGGTAATCCCTCTTCTCTAATTTATTTACCACCCCCTCCGAGAAGTATGAAATGTCACATAAGTTACTCATTATAATATAGTTATTACTCAGAAAAAGCATATTTTTTATAGCCTTTAATCATAAACTTTAGCTATAAACTAGAAAATCAGATCACCCTCTTGCCACACCCACCTGTCACATTCTCTCTTTCACAAATTGCCAGTAGTTCTCTCTGATAATTAATACTACATTATTTATCACAAGTAGAAATCCAAAGTTTTAACCTATCAAATGACATATATTACATTGTTTTCTGTACAAAGAATTGTCTATTTTGCATCCTTTTCAAACTTATTCCCATGGGAAACACATCAACAAGCTTAGGTGAATTTTTAACAGCTCATGTCGCATACTTAGAAAGGCAGAAAAACTGTGATAGTTGTAGGACATTATCTGCTTTTAGCATGTTATTATTCTATGTTCTTTGGTGTATTATTTAATTAAATAAAAAATAATTAGTGCAGTAGTACCATTAGTATAAAAAAGTAGGGTTAAGTTTCATCGACAGTTGAGAGCAAAAAAAAGAACAAAAAACAGGTAAGTACTTTATTTCTTGTTTTTCGTGTATATTTTTTATTTATTATTATAAAAGTAACTAAAATGTAAAAATTAGAAACTTTAGCTTAGATTAGGTGAAATAAAGGTTAATAATAATAAAAAAAAAATTTCACAAGGTACGCTAGCAAGCAACTTGCAAGTAGCCCCTGTATTATGTAATGAGATAGGGTAACAGGGTAAAGTGAGTTACACATTCATGAAGTGATTTACAAGTTGTGTGGCAGGAATATTAGACATGGTTCAAAGAGCAATAAAACAATAAAATTTAACTAGAAACAAATGTTTACTGTTTCAAGTTTATAGCTGTTTAGTATAAACAAATGTAGTTTCATGTTACAATTGGAATTCATTCTAGAGAGAAAGAAAAAGGGTAATTTAGATTTATTTTGATTTTTTTTTTGGTAGTTATGAGGTTGGTCAAATTGACCAACCTTGTATAGAGTTAGGGTAGAGAAAATAACAGATAAAAAAATAACTTTTACTGAAAAAAATGTTTGAAATTTATTTAGGAGATTTTAGAGATTTCACAAATTAAATTTGAGATTTTTAAGATGAAGAAAAGTATTTCTAATATTAAGATGAAAGTAACTTTGCACCCAGAGTGGTCAACACTTTAACTCCATATATTCATGGAGAAATTTTTAGTGAAAATACTTCATTAAAAATTCTGATTTTTTTTTTCTCCCCACAAAAGACCTAATGATTACTGAAAGCTTGCGAAATCTTGTGAAAATACACAAAACATATTAGAAGTTTTAGTATGGAAACTATAAAGGTCAGTTTGGGGTCAAGAACTCGGATAATTTGGCTAAGCCCTTAGTGTGAGAGTTAATTGTTCACAGTTTTGCTCCAAATACTGCTAAATCTGTGCTTTCCTGTTTGTATCAGAGACGAGTGTGTGAACTAATTCCTTTGATGGCTGCTATCTTACAGTTTTGGTAATGTTTTTTTTGTATGGTACAACTGTTAGATTGTTAATCCAGATCATTATTAAAGAAATTGACCAACTGGAATTTTGACCGACTCTTGTTATATATTATGATCTTATTCAGTTACCCTATCTCTGTCTGTCTCCAAAAAGTAGAAGTGACAGTCTTTCTTTGTGGGGTACATTCCCTTTTGATTGTCACTGTTGGTAGACCTTAGTGATCACTGTATTTGAACATCCATTCAAAAAACTGGTCTGTAATAATAAAGCCCCTTCTTGTTGACATGTATCAATTTTCTTATGAAAGTCAAGATCTTTGTTCTTGTGAACTACATACATCTTGTTTCAATGAACCTTCTGCATTTAAAAGGCATAAACAGTCACCTAGTTGATTGATTTATTCAAATAAATGGTGAATTTGAAAAATGCTCTCCACCCACTCACTTAGATGTGAGATTCGTAAAAGCTGTTTCTTTTTTTTGTAATGTGATATATGACATTGTATATTTAACTCCTCTGGTAATTCAGCAAAATTCCCTGAAACTTGTATGACACAGATATGAGTACTACATGGGGAGAATGTTCGTTTTATTGTCCTGTACTTTCCAGAGATTTGTATTCTTCAGTAGATGATGTTTTGTGTTATTGAATCATCGTACAGTGTTCAGCAGAATTTCACTAAACATATTAGATGTTTTATGTAGGTAATGAATGTAAAGGGACATTTGTAGGTATGTTTGCTGGTGTGTATTGTTGTGCATATACTTAGTTATGTATGAGAATTTTGTATGCAGTTTTTTTATATGTAAATACTTATGCAACAATTAATATTTATTTTTGCAAACAGGTTAAACTGAATCTAGAGGGTTCAAACTATCCATGATGGCTAAATGTTTTAAATTATGGTTAAGTTTAGATCTTTTGTCAAAGTTTTTTTAAAGATCAAACTTACCTTACTCTCCTCTTCTTCTAACCAAATGATAAGTAAAATTATTAAATTGATTCATGATCAGGGATCAAATCTCGAGTGTTATTTGTTCACTGAGGTCAAGATGCCCACAAGAACAGTGGTCAATGTCTAAAAAAGAAACAAAAAATAATTTTTTGTTTTGTATGACCAAATATGTTATCACTTTAATGATAAGTGAATAAAAAACGTTTAACACTTGTATGTTTTATTTCTTATTCTTTCCTTGCCAAAGCATTACCTTCGTTACTGAAGACACCATGTGTTTGTCTGTAGGGTGATTTCTAGTCATATGTACACATGTATTTTTGGTTTGTTGGGATTCACGTAATCACTTATCATGGAAGCATTTTTATGTTAAAACATTTTTAATATAATTACAAAATTGACAATGGTAATATGTTATTAAAGCAAACTTTTTAAAAAATTATAATATTCATTTTATACTTAATAATAGAATATTTGAACAAAGTAAACGTTTCAGAGTCAATGTAAAGAAACCCATGTTATTGATTTATTATTATTATTAGTTTTTTTGTAGACAGTAGTGTGATTTGTTATTATTAGCAGATAGTCAGTGATATGTTTCTCTTAAAAGGGATTCATTTCCAAGTGATGATCTCTTCCACATTATCATCCGGTTTTTAAATGACCCCACCCAAACACCAAATAATAAGGTAAGATTATTATACTTTAATTTTTCTTACATATTAAAATTTCAGTAAATTAAAAGAAAGTGTTGACACTTAGTAATAAATGAAGTTAGGTTAGGACTATTTTTTAAATTATTGTTCAGTCCAGCTTCAACATTTGATCATCTGGATACAAATTTATAACTAATAATAGTATTCCCAAATACTTTTGATCCTGTAATCATATTAATTTGCTGATGTTAACAGTCTTAAGTTAATTCAAAAGAATAATATCTGTTGTTTAAATCAATTAAATAAATATACTTTATCCTAATTTTGATATGTTGTGATACAAATAAAATCAATGAAAAATTACACTTCATCAGCTTAATTTAGTGTACACTGTAATAACTGTTGTTAGGTAATATTTACTAATATAAAAGAACATCTCAGGAACTACTATGTCTATCCTATCCCAGCCAGCCAGAAGAGCTGTGTAAATGGGCTCATTGACACTGGATATATAATGTAGTTGGCACACAGTTATACACATAGGTTTATTTGCTTTTATTTAGAACTTTTCATTAATATAAAAGTGATATTTTCTGATGTGAAAGAAAGGCTGAAAGATATTTACTTTTCTCTGTTTTCGCATCATAATTTTACTGACGTTTAGAAAATGCAAGTATTAAAAGATGGAATATTTATACATGCTATTGATAAGGTAATTCTTCTGCTTAATGTTTGGCAGGTGAAAATGACTGTTCTACATTTTTTACATTCCCTACTGAGAATAATGGATCCCAATGAGTTTTCCAGTTCCAGTCATGAAACTAAACAGGCCATCACTAAAATCATCTCTTGGACAGCTGACCCCAAGAACAATGACCTGAGAAAGGTATGTATACACACATATATATTTAATGTTATTGTTGGTAGTGGGGATTTTTACTACAGAGATATGAGCAATTGTATGAAACTGCAGAATAGTGTGACTTTAAGTTGTGAATGACAGATAATATGATGTTAATAGTGGGTTTAGGTAGCACCCAACTATTTTGTATGGCTATTAATAGGAAACAGTGTACAATTCATGTGTTTAGTATTTTCTGACATGTAGTTTAAGATATTAAGTTGACACCATTCACTGTCTATGCTATTATACTTGTTTTTTCACACAAATTATGTGACTAATTAGAGTGTTGTGGAAAGAAAACACACTACTAACATTGCACCAATAAAATGGCTTGGTGATGAGTCATTCTTTAGACACAAATTCTACTTTTTAGTGCTACTTTAAAACCCTATTACACTTCCAGTGTTTTCTGTTTACCTCTAATGATAAAATATTTAACAAATGTCTTTAATGGTAATGAAACTTTAAATTAATGGACTTAAGCTGCTAAATATGGTGAATTTTGTGATATTCCATCAAAACATAACAGGATTGATTATTCACAAAATTTAAAACCTTTTTATGCATATGGTAAATTTACAAAGTTTTATTCTGCATTATAATTTTCACTTTTTCCAGACCAGAAGGATAACACTAATATCCTTGTTCTTTTCTGCTCTCACAGTAAAAATGCCTAACTAGTTGAATGAAACTCCACACACACACATATACATAGATAAATAAATAAATACAAATATATATAAAATGGTACACAAATTATTTGTACATGTGTGTGTGTGTGTGTGTGTGTGTACACACACGCATATATTACTGAATTTTTTGTCTCTCATGCAAATCATGGTGTCATCAGTTGGTCATATTCATATGTCTTCCAGTGGCTCAACAGTAAATAGGAGGGCTTATAACTCTAAAAATAAGGTTTTCTATACCCATGGTGGGGAACGGCATGGATAGCCCATTGTATAACTGTGCACTTATCAACAAGTACACAAATCATATACATGTACTTAATTTTTTCTTTTCTTCAGTTTGCTCAAGATGTCATCATAGGCCTCTTTAACGTGAACACTCCAGAATTTTCTATGTTGCTAAACCAGTTATCAAAGAGCTACCAAGTAAGTGTGGTCACACGCTATGGTGTTGCTTAAAGTTTAGTTTGCTTTTAACTCTGAATTATCTTAAAAAATTGGGAAGCAGACCATTTTTTGTCCAGTGTTGATTCGTGTTTGAACAGTCTTTGTTTAAAATAGTTGCTTTAAATACCAGTCATAACTTTCACTTCTAAACTTATAATTCATACCTAAAAAGAAATAATTTACAAAAACTTTACTTAAAAACGGTTTTGAAATCATAGGCAAAGAAAGAGGTTTAGCAGTTTTTAAATGTGACTGTAAAAACTTGGGATAAAAACATGATTATTAAGTACGTTAGTTATTATTTTTATTAAGGTCATTATTTATATCTAATAGTTGTGGACTTGATTAGTAAAACTACTATTATTTTACTGTAAATGAGTTTAAAGTTGTTTTTTTACCCTAAAACTTTCATTTTAGTAGATGAGCCTTAGAAATTGTAAAGTTAATGATATTTTTAACAGTGACCGTTTAATAAGAATTCCAACCAGATATCCAACACGCATACTTCATTCTAAATGTTAAATATGAAAATTCCATGCCATTTTTCTAAACATCAATCACTTTATAGTTAATTTCAAAATATGAAATTATAAGCTCTAGAAATTAAAGATGTACTGTAGACATTTATATGAAAAAAACATAACTTTTTTTTATTAGCCGCTTAAAACTTACATAATTATGTCACACTTTGTATGACATCTTTCAAGCTGGATAGGTTTTTTATGATCCACTTACATGCAATGGCTGAACTTTGAATATTGCATTGTTAAATACAAAATTAGGTTGTAGCTTTGAAGTGGGGAAGTGTATCAGAGTACTAAATATAGGTTATTTGTTTAGTATGTAGTCATGGTACCTGACTCAGATGTCAAATTTCAGTAAGACAAGTTACAAAGTTCATATATTGTCTCTTTTTGTAAAATGTAAATTCATTATTTCATAACTAAATCTGAATATTAATCCTATTTATTTGTTGTGATGTGTTTGAGAGCAACTCAATACTTTTTGAGATTCATAGCATTACAAGAAAAACTTTGAATATACAAGACAGTTTCTAATGTTTCTTAGGTATGGTTTTTCTATGCTATGATAATTTCAAGTTTATATTAACCATGTTGAATTATGTTTATAGTTGGGTTGTTGTTTTTACCAATTTCTATATTTTAATTTGAAGCTATTGCAGAGAAAAGTAAAATATATGGTTATAAATAACTGGATATGACCTGCCACATTGTAGATCATTACTATATATATAAAAAACATACTCAATACACTACTGGGACTATGCACTGACAAATGTACTGTGACTGGACTACATAATTGGCACCTGTATTTGGCTATTGTTTAAACTCCTATAGCATGTATAAAGTTGATAAAGCAATATTTTGATTGAATCTTGTTTTGTTGTAAATTCTGTCAACGTTGCTGGAAAACACACAACTTTATTTGTTCCCATTGACCTCTGAGAGTCAAAATGACTTTATATAAAAATATTATCTACCTTTACTGTGATTATTGTTAAAGTGTGTGGAACTATAAAGATAAGTTTTATTGATTTTGGTTTAATTTTTATCTATTATTCTTTCCAGGATAGTGCTTTTAAGTTACTGAGCTCAAGAAGGCGTGGAAGCATGGACAGTAATTCTGCTTTCAACATGAGAAGTCCACCCAGTCCAATCACAGCAACTCTTCATTCTCCTAACACTGCAGCTAGGTCAGTCAGTATTAAAAAAGAGAGATAGAGAGAAAGAAAGAAGCAAGTTCATATTATAGACAATAAAATGTGTTCATGTTCTTTCTTTCAAGATAACGTTAAGCATAAAATGTTCATTACTTTCTGGAAAAAATAAATTATGCTATACAAATTCTTTCTTTCATCCTCAGAAG